TTCTAAAAATGTGTGAACACCTTTCTGTAATTACGACAAAAGAGCAGGGAGTAGTTGACAATTTACTAAAACTGATTACAGTATACAACAAAATAAACAGCTGTATGTAGGAATCGTAAAGATAAAGCAGATTCTTCTCAATACACGAGAAATATTCCAGATCACCCTATATTACTCAGGGAGTACTCTGTAAAACGGAATTTATTTAACTCTTTGAACCGCATTACTGTTTAAAATATTCAAATAGCATATTGGATATTTCAGAAAGCCAGGCTACATAAATACAGCTAGTAGTTTATGGTATTTAAACTACTAGCTGTATTTATATACCCTGGCCTTCTGAAAACTGTGGCAAAAAAAATCATTCATACGGCTTATAATCTCGGGTTCTAGTCAAGCTGTGTTCACAGCTCAAACAGCGTAGGATTCATACAAAATGCAGCAGCTTAAGATGCAAATGAATAAAACATTCTCCATTATAGTATAAATAAATAAAACAATTCATAATATTATAAGAATGCACAAAATACGAACAAATAGCCTCAAATAGTTACAGAAATTTGCTATAGTTTTGTGAACAAAAAGTGCATTCAAATAGCCTCATATTTACAGAAATTTATAGTATAAAAGTATGAAAAAAACTGTGTAATATAACTCAATTTTAAGCAATTATAGTAACAGTGATAGCTGATCTTAAAATCATGCTTTTTCGTAGTTTTGCTTTTAAACCTTAAATTGAACTGCAGTGAAGAAAAAGGCACGGAAAATATTTGATCTGTTAAAATCACTTAATGTGTATGTGTTGCAGAATTGAGCTATAAGTCTAAAACTGAAGGCGTGTGTTTTGTGCACTTCAAACCTCAGCAAGTGATGCTTCATGTAGCATGAATAAGCACAAAATAATACCAAAATGAAGTGATTTAAAAGTAGCTCTTTGTATACGGATGCAAAAGCTCAATTGAACGTAAAAAGTGATAGTATTGAATACTGCCTTGTCACTGTCACTACTGATACTCTTGCCTAAGTTCTCGACTAAATAATCACTGGATTAAAGTAATATTTCGATTTGAACTATATTCAAAACTACTGCATATTTCCTTTGGAACTCAGTCATTCACAAAGATCTAAAAAATACCTTCTTAGTAATAATGACAGTTTAAACATAGATTCAAGCTTCCACAATAACTATAAAAGGCTTCAATCTGATGTCATTTGTTAACATCATCCGTAAACACACATAGTCGTCAAGGAATATTTTTAAGTTTATAGAAATGGTGAAGGATTCTCGCCTTCGTGAGTGTGCTATCTTACATAATAGCTCTAAGAGCTCTGTGGAATTAATAAAGGTAACAAGTAATAGGCATATGCACTAGTACTTGTCTAGAATGGTCGTTTTCCGAAGTTAGCATGCTCCTAATTTGCATCGAAGAGGTACTGATATTAAATTAAACATCAACAATTTCACGTATTAAATGCGCAAATCAGATCTTATAAATTATCATATTTCATCCTGTTTCTGATGTTACAATTGAAATTGTCAAGATCAAATAATAGGACTGCTTAATAAAACAAGCTTGAATGTTCTGTATGTGCTTATCAGTTCTTATACCACCTTGTCGACATGGAGGTAGAGGAGCCGCCTGCTATATCTCGGAATCGAGTGTGTATCTCGGGAAACGCATGGTTGTCTCTAAGTGCATAGTGTCTTTGCTGCAGGGGGCTCTTAAAAGACTGTCTAGCCAAAATTCCTTTCGAGAGGTTGGCGTAAGCGAAAGATAGTCAGATACGACCCATGTAGGATACTCCGTCAAAATCGGGACTAAAGTGTTCAAGTTTATATTGTTTTCCAAAACCTAAGCCAACGACAGGAGTCAAGAATCCTTGCGCTCTATCGTGAATTTGATCTGATATTGTTGTCAGATAATAAGTTAGATAAAAATCTAACATTATTTCGAACTTCTGTTTTCAATTTTTATGCTACGTAATTTAAGACTTTGATATTTTTGAGGGACATAAAAATTCGTCTCTAGTTATTTGAAAAGAATCATCAGAAAAGTTGGACCCGATTTGAATCACTGTATTGCGCTTTGTCTTGAATCAGTATTCTTAGTTCATATACTAAAATAACAGGAAAGTATCCTCTTTTGACTTTAGGAATGAACTAAGTAACTTTGACGTGGGCAGAAGCTTTGCTCAGTAGTAAACGAATTTGCATGAAGATGACAGCCGTGAAACGTGCAGTGTATGTTGTGTAATGTCCAGAATTTAAATTTGTTACAACGCCATTTTAGATGAATTTATGGGACACAGACACCTACTGCAAAGTGATCACTTGTTACCCAGTACGAAGCATAATACACGAAACAATTACAGGAAAGCATGTGAGAGCTATCTGCATAAGAGGAAGGATGCCTTCATGAGGACTTTCTAAGCGAAACTGGCTCATATTCACATTAACACACTCAGAAAACCATGAAAATGCCCATACAGCCAGCGTGTTCGCCAGGAATCGAATCAAGCTCAAACTCACAGTGTTTAGCGACTTTTATCGCCCGACCGCTGGTGAACGTATCAGGGTGAATGAAAGCATAATATTGCTTTAATATTTAGCAGGGGTGTCAACGGCATCCATACTAAATTTTATTAATTATATTATATGGTTAAAAAGTTTTGAACTTAGGTACTTTTCAGTATGAGTTGTCAAGCTGCCTGTAGCATACCTTTTCTAATGAAGCATTTTAAAATAGTGTCCATACTTTTCGGTGATTTTGTATAATAAAACGAAATGCTATGACACAGCCCAGTCTTTAGTTAATTTATAAACAGAAATAAAATACCTTGTCATTGCCAACAATTTTAGCCGATAATAAAGCATTATTCTCGTGCTTACGGCGTGTGAGCCAGTGAATGGTAGTACGCGACTGCAGTTGTTTAAATTTTTAAAATATTCATTTCAAGCTTTTATAGTAGTATCTGCTAATAAGTCTTGAAGATTATAGTTTTATAATTCAAATAAATATAAGTTTATGGCTAGAGAGTTTGCTATATGGAATGTTAAGTATACTAATTTCAAAATTTTGTTTTGAATTTTCATTATGGTACATCTAGTGATATTTAAATCTTGTTCTTACCCTCTCAAGTGAATGTGATGAAATATATAGTAATTTATACAATATGAAAAGAGCATTTAATATTTTTTTGTATTATTTCTGCGATTAGTAACGTGATCTTCGATCGGAAATTAGGAAACTACTTCTGAAAACGGTTACGCTGGACATAGCGTTGTATGTAATTATTGCATTTTATTTTTATCAATCCCATACGGATGTTTTTGAACTTGGTTATAGTACACGAAGTAGCGCTGCCACGACTGCAAGAAGCCTTTAGTATTTTTCTTAAAATAAAAATATTCATGTGTGTTAAAGAATAGAAGGCCATATTTTTCGATGATATTAATCAAATCAGATTGACACCTTTGACAATTATTGCAGAATCTTGAAACTGTACTCAAAAAGTCATTATTGCTGAGGATCTTCTTTAGATCCTTATGAATGAATGAGTTCCTTAGGAAACATGGTGCGTTTTTAGAATTCTCAAGGCCTTCGAATTTGCGGTTGGTTTCTATGAATTCTTCAAAAGTTGCACACACCAGAGAACAGTAAAGCAAGTCGTCTTGGTTAAAGGGGCTGTTTCTTGATATTAGTAGCCAATCAATCACTGAAGGCGTAAGATTCCTGAACATCAGTGGTTCGTCCTAAATTCAATTCCTGGCGAAAGAGGTGGTAGCAGGGGATTTATGTGCCTCATATGTAACGTGAATGTGAATTTTCCATCTTTTGAAGCCCATATAAAATAATAGTAATTATTTTAAAAAAAAGGGTAAAGAAGCAGACTTCATTGAAATTGTTATTATAAAAAATAAGTAATCGGGCTTTATTAAAAAAAATTAACATTAACGGGGGAAGGAAGAAAGAAAAGGGATAAGAAGGTAAATTTTAGGCATTGAAACAATTTCATTATTTTAAATAATTTCATACACCATATTCATTACACAGCATTAAAATCGCAGCTGTGCAAAGTGAGAAAATGTGAAAACAACTTCAGGATTTGCTGTAGAGAAATTTTTTATGTACTGATTGATGATTTAGCTTAATATAGTGCCCTATAAATTACCCTATTTTTAGAGAAGTAGCTTTTCGATTCGACTTGAAAGGAAATGTGACAGGGATTGCATTTCATTTGACTAACGTCTGGCCCTTTTCCCCGACTTTTTTATGGATAACTCAGAATTGAAGTTACATAATTTGTGCCCTTGCAACTTCATCAAGTAGCATTTAACTTACTTCACGCAACAAAACTGCTGAATTGGCAGTAAGTAAATGCAAAATAAAATGATTCAACACAGCTGTTTTTTTACAATAATACAAAATTTCGACTGTGTATGAGTACGAATAGCTATGTGTCAGCTCCAACTTCGTGGCGTGTCAGAAATTCGTCACCACTAATCGTCAAGGGGGGGGAAATGCCCCAAAATAGTATTTCTTTTTATTACTTCTTAGGTTTGGGGATGAAGAATAATCAATTCTGTGCTCTAAATCGGTGCTTCTCGGTCTTTTATATCTCGCGAACTACATTTAAGACTTGCGATTTTTCACGACCCACGTATGTAAAGTTGCTTTGAGAGGAATAAGGAGATCTTTGAAAGAAAACAATGTAATAATGATGTAACAATAAATATATATAGTTATTTACAATTAATTGGTAGTTATAAATAAATTCGTAATAACAGGTAAACATCGGTAAACGTATTGCACAATGAGTAAAATAGTACTGCAGAACTTTTTGCGACCTACCCAAAAATTGCCTAGCAAAAACACTTTAAGAAAGTATATTAAGTATTTACCTACTTGCTTTAAAGTGTTTCTCGGTTTTAATTTTTATTAATATTTCGTTTTTATAATCTTCTTTCCTCTATCTTTTTTTTTTTTTTTCATGTGCAGTTCGAAGAGGCTTTCAACGAGTGCATTAGCGAGGTAAGTGTTTTTTCATTCTGAATTCTCTTAAAATTATTTTCTCTGTCTCTTAAAATTAATTAATTCAAATTAAATTCTCTTAATCTCTCTTCTCTTCTTCTTAATTAAATTCTCTTAAAATTAATTTTATTCGTGATTCCCTGTATAGTGTGAAAACTTTGGACTTGTTCCATATATAAAATCTTTAATGTAAGCATTTAGGGCCTTTGAAGTTAAAATTTGTCATTGTAGGGAAATTGTTATGGTTATTTTCTCAGAATTTAATAATAAAGAAATTTTCTCCACTGTGTAAAATCCTTAACTGTAGTAATCCAGAACGGTAATTGCTTTTTCGTGTATTAAAAATTAAACGACTTAGCTCCACCACTTCTGAGAGTGACATGCACAAAAATTGTGCCTCCAGAATGGCAGTTGTCACTTTTCCGAAATTTATATTAAAAAAAATAAATAAATAAAATAAAATTTTCAGTAATTTGGATATGCTGGCATCAGGGCTGTGGCAGTTCATATTCTTCATAAGTTAATGTCTTGAAGATCCTTAATAAAAAATTTGTATTCGTGCCACGGAAAGTAAACGTTTATTACCTTTATCATGGTGTTTCATGTAGAATAATAATAATAATATATCGCATATACTAGAAACTGTTTTTCCAGCATATCAAAATATTACTACACTGCACGTCTACAAAGTTTTAGGACTAACTTCGTTCAAAATCAAAGCTTGCTTTTTAGATTTAATATACGACATTTATAAGTCTAAACCAGTCTTGACACGTTCATACAGCTGCTCGATTCGTTCATACAACTTATCTTTTTGAAGACTATTTTAAGTCTCTGAACGATCTTTGAAATTAAACTTCACTTTAGAGAAGAGAAGGTAATCCTCATATGCCAAATGTGGTGAATTAGAGGATTAGTCGAGAATTGTGAAACTTTTTTGGGGGGCTAGAATTGCTTTTATGTGAATGGAATTATGTGTCAGAACATTCTTGTGCAGCAGAAGCCCATTATTCCGCTGAGCTTTTTCAGGTTTAATATGTTGAATTATCTTAAGCTGTCTTACGGCTTTATAAAAGGGAATTTATTGCTTTGCTATTAAGGACAATTTCCTGGTGAATTATTATTTTTCCAATCTAAAAAAGTAATCAGTGTGGGTTTTACTCGAAATTTCTGAAACCGAAATTATGTGACCCTGCTGACTCTTTTTCAGTTCAAGTAGATGCCGTTTTCTCTCGGAATCGTAAGCAAAGCTTCATTTCTAGCCAGAATTTGTGTGAAAAACTCAGGATTAATGACTGCTATTTTTATCAAATCATGATATGCAGAAATGCAAGTCTTTTCTGAAATCATAGTGTATGAGGGACAAAACGAGAACAAGCTATTATTTTTTCAAGATCTTCTGCGACAGTTTACTGAACAAGAGCAGTTACGGTGAACAAACACATCAGCTATCATTCGAAAACATATGTGACAATTTTTCAGCAGCAAGTGTTCGAACGTTTTCGATGTGTTCACCTATTCGAAACTCCATTCCTTAGTTCATCATCAGTATTTTCGCGTCCATGCCAACGAAAGATATAGGGTGATGTTTGATCTCCATATGCTTTGCTTTACACAACATTTCAAATATTTCCTTTACTGTTTTTCCTGCTTTACAGGAAAATTTTATTGCTGTTCTTTGCTCAGCTTTCGAATCCATGACAGCAGATGTTCACTGCATCCAAGCACGCGATTAATTGCATACAAAATTCTACCCGTAAAGAAGTGATTTCTTAGGAAAATTAAGTAGAAATGTCGTAGTTATAAACTGGAAAAGCAAGCAGAAATGCCACATTAATAAATTCTGTCAGTTATCGTTAAGTAAGTTGCAGGTTTGCGGGAATTAGGTTTTTAAAATGTCTAAAATTTTGTAGATGCACATTTGATGTCGTATATTCTTTTCTAATTTTACGAAAAAACCCTTCCCTCCTTCTTTTTATAAACATCACGATACTAAGAAAAAGCTTAAGGTTTATACACGTGCTGGCCCCTTTAAAACCATGTAATGATGAAATTTTACGGTGAAATTATATATTTAATGCTTCGTTACCTAATTTTCTAATTATCTTGAAAAACAAACACTAGCTGATCTATCATTATTAATTTCATTTAAGCCCTCCAGAATCTGTAAAAATTTTATTTAGTTTTAAAGATATAGAAAATAAGTTAAAATTTTCTTTTCTGAACTGTGCAAAAAACCGCTTAGAATGTCATAAATGTCAACAAAAAAGGGGAAGAGGTGAGTGAAGTTAAAGAAAACACACGATTAAAAACTTGAAAAGAAACTTTGCTGTTAGCAGAAGGAAGAAAAGCCCCCCCCTTTTTTTTTTTTCAGTAGATAAAATTTTATTAGGTAGAATTATTGCTATTAACTAAATATCTATCTATTTAGGTGACTCTAGCTCTTGTAGAATATTATTAAAATTCCACATATGATAATTTTTTTTCTTTGCTTTTTATTTAGCCCCCCCCCCCCAAAAAAAAAATTATCTAAACCAATCGGTGTTTTAAAGTCTTCTTATTTCTTTAATTATATTATGAACGTTGGTTTTTATTGAAAGCTACTTTTCTTTTTCTAGTCAACTCCACCGACATGGAAGTAGACGCAACTCTCAGAGTTCGGATGAAATGTATCCTGTGGATATTCCCATGTCCATCGAGGACGACGTCATGGATCTCAACCAAAAGGTATGAACCGAAGTCGCTTTCTGTCTTCCTGTGCTGCTGTGACTTCTTCGGTAGAATGGCAGTCTGGCTTGTCTGCTGCTCGTCTTTGATGAAACTGACATTTATGGGCAGTTGTTAGTCATGGCTGGACGCTTACAAGAATTATTATTGTATATCAGCTGCACGCAGAAGAAAGAACATCGCTTTTATTTAATTTTTGCTTAAAAGCTAGTACGTTTTTATTTTATTTTGTTAAGTGATAAGGTTATTTTCTTGTAGATAGCGAATTATCTTCAGGATCAAAATCTAAAGGAAAGTTTAGCTGGGCGACGTTGCCACCCTCTAAGTGAAAACTTAAGTTTTATGTAAAATTCGAAAGCGTAAAACTAACTCGAGTGTTTAACTAAAAACGATATTGGATTTTGCAGCATAAGGACACCGCTGTAGAGCGAGCAAATTCTAAGATTTTATTCATTTAATTAAGGTTCAAAAAGTGACAGCAGCCTTGAGCAAATCTGACATTGTTGGCCAAGACAGAAGCCCTCACAAAAGGTCTCGGAGCATAGAAATGCCGATATCATTATGAATATCAGTTTTCAAATTTAAAATAAAATAGCACATTATGCAGGTCAGTTATTGTTCGCCAAAACAGAAACCTTCGCAGAGGGCCAGTATTTTTAAAATTATAAGGTTTTTAACTTTATATAGAAACCCTTTTTTAAGTAGCAGTTTTAGTTAAATGCACTACAATGCAAGTTTTTAACCATCGTAATATTTTTAATTATATGTGACTAAAAATAAAATTGTGTGGCTATTAAAAATTGCTGGTTCTAAATATAAATTATCAAAGAGATATTTATGCGAAAATTCACTGTTAGCACTTCTGATGGTTCTTTAAAATTTTGATAATGTCCTAATACAACCCACGGATGAGAGCTTTCTCCACACTTTTTCCCATGCATTTAACTTAAACCGCATAATTTATTCCCAGATAGTTAGTTTTATACTTCTTTTAGAATGCGAAAAAAAAAAAATTACGGAGATTTAAAATCACTCTCTTTGAGCACAAAAATATGAAATATGATATGAAAAATATTTCTGATGTAAAATTGCATTCTACTCGTTTAAATTTCTATTTTATTCAAAAACTGTTCTCAAAAACTGTGACTGTTAGCAGAATTACGGTAATTAAAATAAAATCGACCAATTTTTCAAAGTTCGATAAATTGTGTTAGAAATTCCGAAAAACTCTCATGTAAGAGATTTTTTTTCGATCTAACAGTGATATAAAGATAAAAATTTTGCCATGATTAGTTTGACAATTAAAGATGGAAAATTCAAAGCTGAATGAAAATAGTAATATATCCATATCTGTGGTATACTGCATTGTCACCGCAGATGCATATGTTTGAAAATTTTTGCGAAAATTGTATCGGTAGAACGGAATAAAAAATTGATTTAAAAATTTGACAAAACAAACCAGAAAACGAAGAAATGAATTAATTAAAGGGGGGAGAGATATAAATGTGCCAGCTGCCTTTTGCAAGTGACATTTTCGTTTGCTTTTTTAAACAATGTAGCAATGTTTGCAATAATGATTGCTGGGCACTTTAGTGCAAGATGATTTTTGTTAGGTTTAAATTGATCTTCCTTAAAGTGCCGGCTCCCTTACACACTGCTTATAATGTAGCACGCTTTGTGAAGTTTTCTGTCTTACCTGACACTGGCTGGCCAGTACCAGGGTGCCGCAACTAGCCTGGAGCGCACATACGAAAGTGTTCCTATTTTAGATTGTAAAAGAGATAGATATATGTAAGAAGAGCGGAACTGCATCCTTCTTATTTTTCTTATATACAGATCAAATTCCAAGGAATTAGATCATAGAGTGGTCCCCCCCCCATCTTTTTCAGAAGCACTCTTGCTACTGTGATGTTGTAAGATTTAATATCAGTTCAGATGTTGCCTCGAGCTCAGCCTTGACAGTTTTTTTTTATTTCCGGTTGAGCCTCAGAAAGAAATATCCCGTTTATTTTATTCCCAACTGAGCCCAGCCGGAAGATATCACTTCATTTCTTTTATAACTCAGTTAGCGTTCTTATGCTTCTTTAAAGGGAACACGCAATCAATACGCCGAACTTTATAAGAATACTTCCATTACAAATGGTTGATGAACAGACCTACTGCTTATTTTCAGTCTTTCAGAAGACCTACTACCATCATAAAGGGTTTATAGAACTTTTTAGTTATTTTTTTAAAAACTATTTCAAAGTAGTGCCTATTATGCTAAGTACAATATAATGCAACAACTAATAATAAGAAAAAATCTACTAAAATTTAGCTCTCAAGAAAGATCAAATGCAAAAATTATCTAATGAAAATGAAGGATTGTTTGATTAACAAATAAAAATGAAGGATTAAAAAATTGAGAGTAAAGATTTTTAAATTCATCCTCTTTGCATTTACGCTGGATCGCTTCATAACGGTGGCCACACTTTTATGCAGGGGGAATGGCAGAAACTTCCATAAGTGTGGAAGTTCCGATTGGCTTATGCAAACCTAAATTGTAATGCTAACGAAAACCGAACCTGCCTCAGCATAGAGCTGCTCGCACTCTTACTCTTATATGGCTGTGCGCACCTTTATGAAGGTAACTGTGTTTTTGATAGGTCGACTTAACAAAGGGAGTCTGGCACCTTCGTGAACCCGTTCCGTTTATGTAAGGGGAGATGCAAACAAAGGCTGAACTGGAAACAACGATAAAAGAATAATTTCGATTTGGTGTTGAGTTGGGAAAAGCTTGAATCGGGGTATCACCTTGTTATGAGCGAGTTTTGTATAAATATTCTTGCGTACGCATAATTTTGAAACGTAACGTTTTTCGAATTCTTTTTCTGAACACATTTGCTGCGCAGGCAGGTCATTATTACTCAAAATATTATGTAATCGTGTAAGATTATTCACAGAAGTGCTTCTGTAGTCGGCAATCAAGCTGTAGCCTAAGGTTACGTATGCTCAGCCATGGGGTAATAATCAGTTATGGCTGATTATTTCAAAAATGACTAAACAAACCGGATGATTGAAAAAATGTGCTCTACCTTGCTATTTCAGAACTATCATCTACTTTCAGTATCAGTGATTTAAATAGGGCCATTAAAAGTAACCCTCCAGATGCCTTTTCTCGCAGCAGCCATTATTATGGTGTTTATCCATAAACATTCTTAATAGATTGCTGTGTCTTTTCTTCCGAAATCGCTGATTACTATTCGAATCAGGAGGAGGGAAAACTTCTGGCGAAATAATTCCAAGAATGGAGGTCGCGTTCTCGTACCTTTATTCGCTTCGCATCCTGAACAAACCGCGTTTTTCTGCACCTTTTTTCTTCTGTTGTTGTTGTTCGATGTTGCATTTTTCGTCACGCGCTTCTGTCCTCTTGCCTGTAAGGACGACGCTGACAGAAGGATTTGGGAGTGAGCGGTGAATCCGCCTCTTCTATGGATCTTTCCCCATCAGCGCTACGCTACGAGACTCCTTCTTTCTGGACGTTCGATTCGTTCTCTTCCGAAACCGATGGTTGCGCAGATGGTTCCGATTATTGTTTGGCGGATGCCCTTTGCTTCAGCACCGATTTCAAATGCCTGCTTGCTCAAAAGGTTAGTAATAATTCCTCTAGTATTCTGATTTGTTTCTTTTAATGAGTGAATTCTAAATCAGTGCGTAAAAAATGTGAAGAATATTGTAGTTTTCTGGTGAAAAAACATTCCAGCTGAATGCTAACCACTTTTGCAAAAGAAGCACGACGAGTCGGAAATTGAGCCAAATTCAGCCTGAAATAGAAATTTTAATATATGGCATTTGAAACATAGTTTATTAATTCCAATAATGCTGTAAATTTATTCATAATTATTTGTTGGATGTATTCTCAGTTATATGCATTTTATAATACATAAATTTGATAAATAACTAAAAGAATTAAACTCCCTTCCCCTGATTTGTGTTCAGAATATCACGTTTTGCAGCTTATTGTTTGTGCGTGCCCTAGTATTTGCCACTTAGCATCTTTGACAATACTTTTGAATGTCTGAATGCTTTGCCTAGAGGATAATAAACTATTTTGATGTTAGCAACATCTGCGACACTTTTTCTAAAATTTTAAATTGCAAGGTTTGCTATAATTAACATATTATTTCTTATGTTGAAAGTCTGTTCTGTACTTCTGCTGTCTTGTCTGTTCCATCAGAATATGTAAATGACAGGAGTTTTAAATAGAAGTGAAAATCTTAAGTTTAAGCAAGAAGTCTGAAAACTTCAGTTGGCTGTTGTATTTTACTACAGCTTAAATTATTCTTAGTTTCAGTTAAACTAAATGCTAGTTTAAACTTTCAGATTATCAGACGACTTCTTGTCCCGTCTTTGTCTATCAACACCAGAACATTGAATCAGTGTAACAATGTAAATGATCTAAATATTTATTTTGATCTGGGCTCAGAAATAATGCAAGTAGTAACATTAAATCTCAATTAATTAAAATTGTGAGATGAACAAACAACAGTAAGTTAAATTATTTGCAAGCCAAAAAATTAAATTTAGATCTTAACTACCTGGTTCTGCTTTTCCAATTGTGTTAACGAAATCTTGAAGTAGAAGAAAACTCACTAATTGATAACAATAACGCTAATGATGGTCTATCACAAAGGAACTTCATAATAGCCGGCTGAAGTTGGAACTAGAAAACGTGTGAAATCGACTGTGTCCTCTCCTTGATTAGAACATGGGATTTTTCAGTGTTAACTGCATGTGTTAACCACTTTCACCATGAGAACCCTTACGGGAGAAATTCGATAATTCCTTACATTCTATCCATCTAAAAGGCGATTGGGGAGACTCACAAGAACGGGCCGGTGACCGGTCACCACAGTATAGTTCGGATGCCATTATAGAGACTTCTCGTGTTTTTCTGTAACAGAAAACGTGAACAATGAACTATGCCGTCGCCGAGATTCGAATTGCAAAATTAATTCGTG